ATTATAAGCAGTAGTTTTAAATAAGTCCGCCGACATTTTAAATAAATCCCCATGTGACAGAGCTACGCACCATGTAATGGCAATTCAAAAGGTACAAACAACAGTAAGTACCCAGCATTTAGATTGTCCCAAATAGCCTTAATTGTTTGAGTACTGTTTGGACAACCCATTGGTCGCATGTGTAAATCCACTTACTGGCTTTTTTATTATTCTATGTGAATTTTTTCCAGTTAATCACAATTTTTAGTCTGCCTTCACTGTGTTTTACTATAGTATGGGATTGTTTTGGCAACAATAATTAGTGTGTCATTTGCACTGCATGAGTGCCACAGGCCTGCCCTGGTGTAATGAGTACATGTTTTAGCAACAGATTGACAATGCATCTTGTTAAATTTGCATTTCAACCTCATATAGTAAATTGGGAAAATATTATAGTTTTATTTTCTTATTACAGGAAGCAGATACTGCTCTTATTGTATCAGCAAGAGGAGGAGACTATGAGACTGTAAAAGTACTGCTGGATAATGGAGCTGATCCAAATGAATGGGATGGCGTTAGTATTTACATACAATGCATGTGATACCTCATAGTCTTATTTACATTAAAAGAAGATGACAAATATTGTGTTACTTTGCAAACGAAACCCACCAATTATGAACAATATAGCTTTTGTGACTCAGTTTAGAAGTCCTAAGTTGATTTTGTACTTAAAATTTAAATGGTTCATTTCTGCACATGTGCTTGTAGTTGTAGCCTTTTACAAGTAGACTTGTGTGTGCTATGTTTGTGTTTTGTTACTTATCTTCAGATCATATCCATTAAATGTTAAACCACATTAAATGGTATTAATAGCAAAGTATTCATTTCTTATCATTTAAATTATAATACATGCAGGTACGTACTACAGCACTAATGGCAGCAATAAACAACAAACATCATCATGTGGTGGAACTTTTATTAACCGAAGGAGCTGACCCAAGCATAATGGATAATGTGAGTAACTGAGTATTGTACATGAACATGCATATAATAACATGTTTAAGCACTGTCAGTCAATATCAGGTTTGTAGCTTAAATGTATATAGTCAAAGCCCAACATCCACTAAGCAACTTGTTTGTGGCTACTTTGATCTTGTGAATAGGTTTAAATCAATTTGTAGAACAGATTTTTATTCTTAGATGACAAGATCAAAGTAATCACAAATGTTACTAGCATGTTGCTTAGTATAAATATGGAGGAGTTATATTTAATGAATGAGAGGAATGACTAGTTTTTTTCTAATTCAGTTTTAATTATGCCATTTTGTGGCATGTGTCCTTAAACATGTGTACACAAAATGGTGTATTTTTATTTTATTTTGATGAATGGTTGTCAAATTCCCAATTTACCCTGCCAGCTATAC